GAGATCTCCCATTGGTTGGGGAGGAGAATGAAAGGTTGTGGAAACTTCTCCCTAGTAGATGCTATTTTAAAAACCTGTAGAGGAAGTCTAGAATGGAAAGCCCAAAGACGATAATATTTGTTAGTGGTAGGCTTGGGCTGTTACAACTTACTTTGATGACCGTGGTTAAGTTTCCGATGACCAGCTCAACGTATTCTTGAGGAGAATGAGATTGGAAGAGGGTGGAATTTGTAGTAAAAGGAGCAATATAATCGTTGCTTCCAATGCTGATGAAGTAGACAGCTTTGGATAGTAAAGCCTTAGCTTCTGCAGGATGTCCTATCCCTTCAACAACCTTTGTTACTTTGTTGAAGTAACTCAGCTGGGTTTTCAGGTCAATTACCTGTAAACAACACACACACAATATAGCTGACCTCTCCTTCAAATAGTGTAATTAAGAAACAACAAGACCAGATTTTACTTACTAGTCCTTGATGGGTTTCAGCTAAAGCACCAGCTCCAGCTGATGCAAAGTTCACTCCATGAACGTAATTTTTGTTCATGGGATGAAGATATGGAAGAATCAATGGCAAATTAGCATATTTAGCTGTAAATTAAACAAACTTCGTCCGTCAACAAAAATAACATAAAAACGAAATCGTTATCAAAGGAGACCTAATTTACCAATGAAATCAGGAATCAAGCGGCCATCCGAAAACCGCCCGGTCGGGAATTTGAAGAAGGATTGTCCATATGGCAAGAAATTAGCTTTGAAAGAGGTGTTGATGTAGTTGTTATTTCCAGCATCAAATAAGGAATCCCCAAAGATGAACAAGGCTGCATTTTTAGGCCAAGTGTTTGGATGACCTTTGCAGCTGTGTATAGAGAGAAGACTGAATATGAAGTAGACCAAGAAAGTTGATGAAGGAAAACTTGAAGTTGCCATCTCGATTACTTATTCAAACCCAGCCCATAAATTTATAAGGATTGCAGTTGCTTCAACTGAAAGCTAATGGATTATAATATATCTAAATATATGAATATGATATACCAAAAAATTTATGGTGCTTAAAGTTGGCTTGTGTGAGCTCCAAGCAACGACATTAAGATAGAATTAAGTTTTCTATTCTCGAAAGTTGAATTTGGAGTGGGCAGATTCAATGGGATGAACTGATATGAACCAGATAAAGTCAAAGATCTTGAACTCAAGATCCAATCAATTATTCATTAAGAAGAATCAAGTTCTTTATATAACAAGGGTTTCAAGATACTTCAAATACGGTTTCATTTATTATGAGATGGTTACAAATTTACGATGGATGATAATTTAAAGCTATGTGTTTCTTTAATGTATTTTAAGGTTTATGATGGCTAATTATAGTCACAAAACATGAAAGTTACCACTCTTGGAATGTCTTAGGGAAGCGGGTTTTAATTTTGAGGCTATATAATGCCATGTACGTTATCTTTGTAAGTAGACTTGGAAAATGTAGTAAAATGAACCTCCGTGTTTTTCTAGTTTCTTTGCAATTTTATCTAGTTTAAATTGCATGTTTAGAATCGTTCAAGCTTGACATAATCAATCTTGATTGTAGAGTGATTCGAATCTCAAACAAATGTTGTTGCTTGAGATATTCGATCAAGAAGATAATCCAAATCTTATTTTCTTTGGAGTGATTCCTTATCATTAGGGTTAAGTGTTCTTACCTTTCCTTTGCAATTCTATGTAGTTTAAATTGTACGTTTAGAATCATTTAAGCTAGACATAATTGATCTTTCTCGTGGAGTGATTCAAATTCCAAACAAGTGTTCTTACCTTGAGATATTCGATCAACAAGGTAATCCAAATCTTACTTCCCTTGTAATAATTCCTTTTCATTTAGTATCAGAGTTTTCCCTTGAGTTGATTCCTTTTCACGAACATTTATGTACTAGGAGATCTCTCTGTTTTACATCATCCTTTCAAGAGAGACTCCGTAGAAAAATAGAACGATGCTAGAATAATGAACGGTAAAACATGATGCCATGACTTGTAATGACTTGTTAAATATTAATTTGTGATATTCAAATTCACTTGTTTGAATTGAACACACTTGTGATCTTTGTATGTTGTTAATGAAAGTTGAAATGGTCAATGGAGAGAGAAATGTTGGATTGGTATGATAATATATAATTTAATTTTGTATTCTAAAATCATTGACTAAAACTCTATTTTTTTTTAGCATCAATGACTAAAGAATAAATATTTATGAAATTCTTGCCTAAAGTTCAACTTAACAAAGATTTATAAATTTTTTAGCAACAAGGACTAATGTATAAATATTTACGTTAAATTAAAATTCATAGATGAAATTGATTCAAATATATATCTAATCCTTCGATTAAATTTTGAAATTTGAATTTATCGTAAACTATTTAATATAAAATTAAAAGTTTTAAGAATATATTAAAAATGTTAAAATATTAATCAAGTAAAAAATTAATTTCCATTGACTAATAAATATTTAATTAAATTATAAATATTTATGAGAATAATTCATGCTGCTTAAAAATATTTTAATAAATTCTACAAAATAATTATATATTAGACTTCAATTCACCAACCTCATCTCTTCCTTCATTTGAATACTTTTAGTTGACGTAAATTAAATGTAAAAAAAAAAAAAAATCAATAAAATATCATATAATACACTTTGTTTTCTCTCTTACGAATAAAATTTGTGAGCTGAGATTTGGACATTTGTTTTGGGGTTAATAACTTAATGGTCATGAGCGTCCGAAAAAATGAGGTTTTGAAGATTCGTGAAGTCGAGCCAAGGACCCAACCTATTACCCAAAGGAGTAATGGAACCTTGAGCAAGCAACCAAGTGGTTGATAAAGTTCTCGTATGGACTCTAGAGTAGTGTCATATAGGATTAATATAAATAGGCGGAGCATATCCACTTTAAAAGGTACACTATTATGTCATGCTCAACTCGACACATCACCTCAAATCGACCTATACTTTAGAAGAGAGAGAAAAAGATGATTTTTGTAAGGTTAAAAATATTAATGTCAGGTAAAAAAAAAATGAATACCAAGCTCTCACACAACAACATTCCACCAACAGAGAGAGGATGAAAGAAAAGACAAATGGTCATTTTGGTTTTCTTTCGAATGAACACAACGTTGGATAGAGAGATAAGATCCAACATCATAACGAACACCTTACATTGCAAAAGAGACTACCGCCGACTCAGGACTCACCACGGTAAGCAAAACGACACCTTCATAGTAATATTGTCGCAGAGAGAGAGGATAATTTCGGGTGAACAGTGATGTCGTGGTTTCCATTCTCAGGCTACACATAAGCATCCATTGCCTCATAGTGAAGGAGAAGTACACTGGGCGGAGGAGCCACCCAGAGGAGCTGTAATAGCCCAAATAAATAAATAAATAAAAATAGTAAGAGAGAAAGAAAAAGAGAGATAAGAAATACAAAGATAAGTAAGAGAGAAAGATTTGAAGGCAAAAATTGATTAAAAAGAAAAGGGAAGATTATGCGAACAAAATTAAAAGATAAAATTAATACGAAATAAAAATGAAGATTTGGTAAATAGAACTAAACCACAAAACACAATAGCAAAGGGCGAAAATGTACACAATAGTCATATAACATAATAGTAACAATAGGATCAGATCTTTAATAAAAATAGAAATATATATATATAATATAATATTCCAAGACTCTATTCATATAAAATCTCTAATACTTGCATGAAATTTTAACATAGGGGCGATTGTAAAATTTAAAGAATTGAACTTGAAATTGATGTTATGGATTCATATAGGTTGATTTAAATACAAAAGACAAAAGTCGAACTTTCATCAGGGATAAATGGGTGACACTAGCCTAAGCTAATCAAGTAAGTGTCCTTACTATAGGATAGACTAGAACTTATATGAGTTACAATTAGACATTTTTGAGATGACGTATGATGATGCATGCGATGTTTATATTTATGATGTATGACTTATGTTGCATGATGTTGTACATTAGTTGTATGATGATGTATGAGCATGATGTTGTGTGAGTTATGATACATGATATTGTACGTAATTTATATATATTTCGATGTATGACGTACATGATGTGTTTGATGCACTTAATGGCAATACGATGAATATGATGTGTTTGCATGACGTTATCTTAATATGTTGATGTTTCTATATTAAGCATGCTATATGATGATGAATGTCATATTGCATCATGTCGATAGATCGACCTAGGACACAACCTTAAGAGCATGAAAATGATATTAATATAAATATCCACGAGCATGTGTTACTTAATGTAACAAAAAGATGAGACTAGAGGGTTGTGTCAGAAGAGATGATAAGATGGAAATTAGAGGAATCTCGTACATGTTGTATGTTCATAAGCATAGGGATACTGATGATGAGTGTGGACGAGCACAATATGATGATGAAGGTGTTCATGGGGAGTATGACACTAGGGGTTCTACTGACCTCTGGACGTTGCTACAGAGTAGCTTGACCAGAGAGGGTCTAGGGGGGTGTGCGAGCCCCATGGAGATTCACACTCGCACGTGTGGGTCGTATGTAGGGAAGTACCACACATCCATAGTAGTTTGAGACTAGAGGTCACCCATAGTAGTCTGAGATAGGTCCCAAGAGCATGATTGCATATGTTTGCATTTGCATGGCTTCCTATAGTGGGGCTACTTACTGAGTATTCTTCGAAATACTCAGACTGTGTGTCATATCATTTTTCAAGTTAAGGCAAGGCGCACATGTACGGATGATGGTGGCATCACGAGTAGAGACCGTGACACGTGCATAGGGTAAACTCATTTAAATTCCTAGTTTTAGAATGATCATGTAGCGCCCGAGTTTAAAAAGAAAAATAAAAATAAAAATAAAATCAATATCAAAATAGGGGCAAACTAGTCATTTTTTCCTATTATTACTTGAGGGGTCTGATTTGATTCGGTCGAAAAGAGAAAGAAGAGGGGAGAGAAAGAGGAAAGAGAAGATTAGGGTTTTTGAGGTAGAAGGAGGAGATCGGATCAGAACCGACGTCGGAGATCCGAGTCCCCAATCTAAACCATCAACAGTCCGAGGCAAGGTGCTCTCACGAATCGCACCTTCCTATTTCTTCAAAACATCCAAGAACTTCAGGTTAGTTCACGAATGTCTAGATCGAGAAGTCATCAAGGTTTTCGTGTGTTAGCGACATTTTGTGTTGATCCTTGGATTCTTACCCTCAACAGTTATCTGGTTAAGTTCTGAAGTGAAGGCGGCCAAGATTGGCGTTCAAGTCTGAGTTTCAAGAAAACGTGATTTTCGGTAAGAACTCGTGTTTTCCCTGAATTCGAACTCAAATGTTAAGATATGTGATTATCAGAAAAATATAAGAAAATTGTTTCGAAGGAGTAGAATGAGAGATCTACAAGGTTCGTGAAGAAAATTTCTTGAATTGGATTACGGATGGGAAAATAAAAAAATCGGAAGAAAATAGGTCGAAACGTAAAAGAGACTAACATTGGAAAAATTGAAAACACGCAGGAGAGAGGGAGGAGACGCCGCCACGCGTCGGCCAGCGTACAGAGGAGCGCGGCGAAACCGGTGATCGACACGTGGCGATCACCGACTGGTGAGGCACGTCTTCACCCGACAGCAGACACGCGTCAGGCACGCGGATTCGAGTCGGCCCGACCGGCACCGCACGAAAACCGCTCCATCTGTAAATCGTCCCAACCTGGTGCCTCTAACCTGCGACTGCTCGGGAAGCCGCGCGTGGGCACGTGCGCGTAGAAACCTTCAGGGCGCGTGTAGGAGCGTGAGTCACTGTTTTTCTTTTTGTTCGGTCTCTGTTGGCTTGTTTTTCAACCCGATTTTGATACTTACCCTATTATTATGTGAATTAGGACCTGTCTAGGAAATTCTAGAATTTTTGGAATCTTTTTCGTCAAGAAAACTCGAACTCGGGAAGGCACGCGTCAACCATGTAAGTAGCCATTTGGATTCCCACGAGCAGTACTTGTAGGAACCGCTAGGAACGAGCATGCATGCTACCACCCATAAACTTAGCTAGCCGGACCTAGCATATTTGAATGGAAACTGCAAAAATGAATTGATTAAGGAAAGCTAAATATGAAATGTTTATTAAATCTGTTTTGATTGAGATTCTCGTAAAGTATGTATGCATGAGGAGGATGAGAAACTTGTGAAATCTGCGCTCCGGGTGAGGATGGATGTTATCTTCCCGTTGAGCATGTTTGTTAATATTGCATGAACTGTTGCGTGTGAACTCTTATGCATGATGATTGCTTGTGTTATCTTTCTTGTTGAATAGGAAGGAATTATGAGCGTGGATTAGGGTGCTTGTGACTAAGTAGGCTACATGCGATCCTAGAATGGGAGACCTCTAGAACACCGTGCATATAGACCCGCGAAATGATTACTGGCAGGTCTAGAGCCCAGAATTCCAAACCCGATAGGTTTGTGAGACCAGACACGAGATTCCTTGAGATGCATGAATCCAAGTCTAAGCCACCAAGTTCCATCCTAGAAAGAATAGTAGGTCACCACGGTAACTGTAGGTAGCCCACTAGAGTTGAGCAGTGTGGATAGTGTCATCAGAACCTCCACTTCCCTCTCTGCTCCGATACCGTACCGTCGAGATAGAGCTTCGGTATGGAGATCGTTGAGCTTGGCAGATCCGAATAGGGAAGTGTGATAGGTGCCCAGACCTAGTGGTGATAGCTAAGGGGTCTTCTAAACAGGACTCCTAGCCGTAGAAACCCGTCCCTGACTAGGGAACGTGGAGCCACGTAGGACGACTCAGTAGCTGACCGACACACAGGGGGTCACACCCCGAATTTAGTGGATGTATGGTCCCGTGTGAGGGTCGTCAGCTAACCTCCACGGATGATGTTCAGAGAGAGTCACGTATTCAGATCCAGCCATACGACCCCCTCAGATACTTATGAGGTCGCGCCTCACCTCAGGACACTGATCATTTTACTGCATAAGATGAGCAAGCCTCCTAAGATACAGAAAGAGAGTTGCAGCTTAGATCACTCTCCTTAGAAACCCGAGAAAGACCGTGGATACCTACCAAGATAAGGATGCGAAAAGAACCGACAAATAGGCTGCTTATTGAGTATTTTTATACTCATTCCTTTCTATTTTTTTTTCAAGTGACTGATGTCATGGTTCGAGGCAAGAATGCGTGCTGAATCTTAATGCCACATAGGGGTGTCCCAGGGCGTCTAGGAGTCTGTGCATATTTTTGTTTAGATCTGTCCTGCATTGTTTTGTAAACCATTTACATACTTTTCATAGAACTCATAAACTACTTGCTACATTGTTTTGTTTTGGATTTCAAACTTTCTACATTGCTAAAGTTTTTTTTTTTTTTTTTTGTAATTTCGTCTTGTCTATTTGCTTTTACATGATTTCGTTGCATAGTCTGTTGGTCCAGTCCTGGATTTCAATATTCAAATTTTGGGCCATGACAGATCATATGTGACTTCATCTTAATCTTGAGTATGGGTGATTGCATGTGTTTGTATTTGCATGGCCCGTATAATGGGGTTACTTACTTAAGTTTTCTTTGAAATACTAAAGTTGTGTGTCATATCATTTTTTCAGGTAGAGGTAAAGTGCACATGTACGAATGACGGCGGCATCACGAGCAAATATTGTGGCACATATCATTTTTCTTGATATCATATTGATTGTTTTATTTAAATTCTTAATAAAAATTAAAGTGGTTCCCTATGCTTCCATTGTGAGGATGAAAAGCTCATGAATAAGCGCATTCATATGGAGTTAGACAAGAGATAGGCTATTCAAGTCGTGATTTCAGGTTGGAAACATCAAGTGCAGGTTGCAGTTTTGGGACGAATCGGGTAAGGTGATGCACGTCACCACAGTACGTAGACGCATTACTCCACCTGTTGTGTGACACATATCATACGCTTAGCTAGTCACACTTCACCTCTCGCTGCTTAATGTGTCCTTTCCTGTTTGACTCCTGCAACTGCCTGACGCGATTTTCCAGAATTCGATCATATTTTGAAATTCTTTCTAATTTCTTTACATCTTCCTAACTTTTCATACAAAACTCGAATCAATTTGGTTCATTCATCAAAGTCGTAGAGTTTCAATCCACGTTTAAAAAGAATATATAATTAAATCCAAAATTAGTCCAAACACATTACTTGCCTCAACTCCTCTTTCCAATCATATTCAACTCACTAATTCTTCATCAAAAATGGGTAGAATTTTTCGCATCATATTAAAATTTCAAAACCTAATTTCTATTGAATCTCTTAATTGAAAGAGGTACAGAAAACGAAAAGCTAGAAAACTTACTTCTTGATCTTTCTCATTTCTTCATAGTTTTCAACGATTCAAATATCCAACTTGATCTCTACTAAGCTTTGAGCATGTTTTATTAAGGGGGTTTGACCGAAATAAGGCTCCTCCCCTCCCCCTTAAGTTGACTTTGACTTTAACTTTGACTTTTTTTCTTAATATTTTATTATTTTCTTTTATATATTTTTAGTCCCTTTAATTTTTTAAACATTTTTGGCTTCTACCTCATCTTCAAATTTGACTTCTAAAATCAAATTATATAAGTTACCAAAAACAAAACGTATAATACCTTTATTCATAAACTTTTGAGCATCAAAATTCATAAACATTTCACCACACGTACATGATGAAAGCCAGAGATCAAAACAACCTTGCATCAACTTAAAATCCTTATTTGGGTAAAGTTAAACACACTACCATTGGTGCCCACTTATTGCATTACCAAACATGTGTTAGGAACACCCTCAATGGATCACCACCAACTTAAACATTAAACAAAGCTTTAAGATTGTAAGGCTTGATGCTGTCGGAGCTCCCATTCCATACCCACTCAGCAACTAATTGGCTCGCCTTTTGAGTGAGATGGGCAGAATCATAGAATAGATACTCATTGGGGTTGCTACACAACTCATACTCTTCTCCATCCCTTCCCCCACAGCTAAAGAACCCTCTGAATGGTCCACTTCCACAACATGCCGCTTTCCCCTCCTTGAAACCTTGCCAAACAGATGAACTTTCAGTAAGTTCATTGAAACACTATACAATATATTCACGCTGGGATGCATGATTGTACTTACCATATTTAGATGGGTTGTTTGATATTTGGTTGGCTGAAGAGTATAAATCGGCATAGGAGTAAACAAATCCTTCAAGCTCCTTTTCAAGATGTTGGAGGGTTTTGTAAAGGTGTTTGTTATGCAGTGTTACAAGTTGTGTAATGTTTTCAGAGCATTCATCTTTGCCTTGTAATAATACTGCCTTCACTAGGGGCACACACCCGATATCTCCAACGCCTAAAAATGCAAACTTTCTTCCTCCGTTCTTGTGGATTCCCTGCAAACAAACCATTCATATCAGAAAATATCCTTTTCTTTTTGGTATATACGATTTGAATTAGAGGTGTTTGATGTGATCCCACGTTAGTTGGGGAGGAAAGTTTGAGAGGGAAAACCTAAAGAGGACAATATCTATGGGCTTTGAGTTGTTGCAAATGGTATTAGAGTCAAACATTGGAGGAGGTTGAGTTCCGAAGGGGAGGACACGAAGTGGTGTGCCAGCAAGCATGTTGGGCTATGAAGAGGTGGATTGGGGAGTCCTACATCAATTTGAGAAGGGAACGAGTGCTAACGAGGACGCTGGGCCCTGAAGAGGGGTAGATTGTGAGACCTCACATTGATTGGAGAAAGGAACGACTGTGTGAAGACGCTGAGCCCTGAAAAGGGGTGAATTGTGAGATCCCACGTCGGTTACGGAGGAGAACGAAACATTTTTTTATAAGGGTGTGGAAACCTCTCCCTAATAGATGCGTTTTAAAAATTTTGAGAGGAAGCACAGAAGAGAAAGTCCAAAAACAACAATATAGGCTAGCAGTTAGCTTTGAACTGTTACAAATGGTATTAGAGCCAACACCGGTAGATGTGATAGCGAGGAAGCTGAGCCTCGAAGGGAGTGGACACGAGTGGTGTGCCAGCAAGGACGCTGGGCTTCAAAGGGGGGTGGATTATGAGATCCCACATCGGTTAGGGAAGAGAACGAAACATTTTTTTTATAAGGGTGTGGAAACCTCTCTCTATCAGACACGTTTTAAAAATTTTGAGAGGAAGCTTAGGAAGGTAAGATTAAAGAGGACAATATCTACTATCGGTAAGCTTGAACTACTTACTTTGATGACGGTGGTTAAGTTTCCGATGACCAACTCAACATATTCTTGTGGAGAATGAGATTGGAAGAGAGTGGAATTTGTAGTAAAAGGAGCAATATAATCGTTGCTTCCAATGCTGATGAAGTAGACAGCTTTGGATAGTAATGCCTTAGCTTCTGCAGGATGTCCTATCCCTTCAACAACCTTCGTTACTTTGTTGAAGTAACTCAGCTGGGTTTTCAGGTCAATTACCTGTAAACAACACACACACAATATGGCTGACCTCTCCTTCAAATAGTGTAATTAAGAAACAACAAGACCACATTTTACTTACAAGTCCTTGATGGGTTTCAGCTAAAGCACCAGCTCCAGCTGATGCAAAGTTCACTCCATGAACGTAATTTTTGTTCATGGGATGAAGATATGGAAGAATTAATGGCAAATTAGCATATTTAGCTGCAAATTAAACAAACTTCGACCGTCAACAAAAATAACATAAAAACGAAATCGTTATCAAAGGAGACCTAATTTACCAATGAAATCAGGAATCAAGCGGCCATCCGAAAACCGCCCGGTCGGGAATTTGAAGAAGGATTGTCCATATGGCACGAAATTAGCTTTGAAAGAGGTGTTGATGTAGTTGTTATTTCCAGCATCAAACAAGGAATCCCCAAAGATGAACAAGGCTGCACTGTTTGGATGACCTTTACAATTGTGTATAGAGAGAAGACTGAGTATGAAGTAGACTAAGAAAGATGAAGGAAAACATGAACTTGCCATCTTGATTACTTATTCAAACCCAACCCATAAATTTATAATGAAGGATTGCAGTTGCTTCAACTCAAAGCTAATCGATTATAATATATCTATTAATCTTTAATATCGTCGTATCATTACCTGTCATCGTGTACTAGAAAATCTGTGGTGTCTAAGTTCGCTTTTGTCAACCTCAAGCAACGATATTGAGATAGGACTAAGTCTTCTATCCTCAAAAATCGAATATGGAGCGAGCAAGTCCGATGGGACGAACACTTTTGTACTAAAAATCTCTATGTTTTATATCGTCATTCTTTTAAAAAAAATCCCGTAAAAAAATAAATTGACGTTAGAATAATCATAAATATGATGTCAAGGCTTGTAATAACATGTTACGGAATAATATATAATTTAATTTTGTATTGTAAAATCATTCGACTAAAACTCTTTTTATACAAATCATTATAATATTTTTAGCAACAATGGCTCATCATTGTCTAAAATTCAACTTCACAAAAGATTTATAATATTTAAGTTTCCCTAAATTTTTAAGATTATAAATTTAGTCCTAATTTTTTTTTATTCATAAATCTACTCAATAAAAAAAATAAAAAATTAAAGTTTGAAATTTCTGGAGAAATATCTATTTAATAAACTAATTAATTTTTTAAAAAATTTGAATTTGTCATAAACTATTTAATATAAAAATAATAAAGATTTTTAAAAGTAGATACAAACTTTGAACCGGTGGTGGTTAGCAAATTTCCATTCCGATTTGACTAATAAATATTTAATTAAGTTATAAATATTTGCTAGAATAACTCAGGTTGCTAAAAATATTTTAATAAACTCTTCGCCATAATTCAAAATTAGACTTTTATTTTTACAATTATATATTAGATTTCGATTCACCCTTCCTTTATTTGAATATTTGAATGTCAAGAAAACCCGATAAAATATCATCTAATAGAGTTTATTTCCTTTCCTTCTAGGTAGGAGAGAGAAAATAAAATTTGTGAAATGAGATTTGGACATTTGTTATGGGGTTAATAGTCTAATGGTTATAAGTGAAAAACGAAAAATGAGGTCTTAGGGATTTGTAAAGTCGAGCTAAGGACCCAACGTATTACCTAAAAGAGTAAAGGAACCTCGAGAAAGCAACCAAGTGGTCGCACCTACTTCGATATCCCCACATTGACACCATAAAGTCCTCGTATGGACTCCAAGATAGTCATATGGGATTAATATAAATAGACGGAACATATCTGGATTAAAAAGTACACTACTATGTCATGCTCAATTCGATGCCACTTTGGTTCAGTACTAACTTATTCATTAGAGTAAATACTTCTCAACTAAAATTTATAGAAAATAAAAAATGAACACATACATTAAATATTGGTTCTCGTGGTCTTTTAGTTCAACAACATACAGAGTGATAGATTCAATCCTTTAATATCTTGGTTGAGGCTTCACCTTATTGAGTATTATGGGGTAGAAAATATCGAAACTTTTAAAATTTCATTAATATCCTAAAACTTTAAATAAAAAAAAAAATTAAAAAATACAGAAAGAAAATATATTAATACCCTTAAACTTAAAAATAAAAATCTAACGTATAAATTTAGTATAATAACGAAAATCATTTATGTGCACATCACTTACCTCTTATATTTTCTCTTCATCAATACTTAACATTTATGTCATAAACAAGCTAGATTGAAGCAAATCAAATCAAATCAAATCACATCATGTGTATCCAATAACATAAATCAGTTCAATTAGATTATACCATGTGCATTAGGCGACACAAACTAAACCAATCAAATTGGGTCGTGTGTACTATTTGATGTCATAAATTGGTCGTATTATAACACACTCTGTGATGATAAACTCAAAATCAGATTGAGTTTAGAGAATTTGAAGATAAGACTCCCAAAAACCAATCAACAAGTTCAAAGATCAATCAATCAATCCAAGCGGATCAATAACCCAACATTCCATTAACAAATCTAAGGATTAAAACTTACTCATTTCATCAGAAAATGGCAAATTGAAAAGAAAAAGCATGAAAAATGATTCGATATGATTAATCCTTACAGCGTTGTCAAGTGGTTTGAAAGAGATCCTTGAGAGAAGAATGGGAATTGAAAGAACCACTCCACATTTCATGAGCAAGCTCTTTGTGGAGGCTTTCAGTGAGATGGTAAGAATCCCAAAACACATACTCATTTGGGTTCCTACACGCTTCAAACTCCTTCACTCGTCTTCTTCCTCCGCAGCTGAACACTCCTCGAAATCTCCCTGTCCCGCAGCATGCCTCCCTCCCTTCCTTCAACCCTGCATCAATGGTGTTTCATATTATACACAACAAAGCGTAACACGCAGCAACAGTCTATGTATCGATCACTTTTACCATATTTCAACGGATTCTCCATTCTCTGTCTCAGGCTGCTGGTGAAGTCGTAGAGTGAATATTTGAACCCCTTGAGCTGCTTCTCCAAGTCTTGAAGAAGCTTCACTAATCTCTGGTTGTGTTCGTTTGCATACGCCCCAAACTCTTCCAAACACCTCCCATCTGCATCTCCTCCGGCTACTCTCAGCCCTGGACTGCAGCCCATCGGTGGCAAGTTCATGAACCCGAATTTCCTGCCCCCACTATCGTATACTTGCTGTCAGAACAAACAAAAAACACCATCATTTCTTATCACTAGACATTACTATGTTCGAAAGAAAATTTGAAGATGGCAAAAAAGCTTACTTTGATGGAAGTTGTCAAGTTACCAATCACCAACTCAACATATTCAGATATGGAATGGGATTTCAGGAAAGGGGATTTGGTTAAGAAGAGGCTCATGTAATCGTTGGTACCGATACTGAACAAATATACAGCTTTTGACAGTATCAGCCCACCTTCTGCTTTCCACAACTTCCGTTTTAGCCAAGTCTCTACCTCCTTAAAGTACTTAATCTGGGCTTTGAGCTCGATCACCTGAAAAACGTTAAACAACCTTCTTCACTTAGAATTCAATTCACCTTGTTAACTTCAATCTAAAACCTCCCATATTTCCCCGGATGTGTTCAATTTTCGGGCATGAATTAAACTGAGTTTACTTTCGTTTAATCATGAGTCAGTTTTATGTTCGAACATTACTCAAAGCAGAGTTAATGACAATTTCCCTTGCTTATTTAATATGGAAAAGATGCGGTGAGGAGTAGTGGGGTACGTTATTCTTACCGACCCATGAAAAGTCTCGGATAAAGCACCTGCTCCAGCCGAAGCAAAGTTCACTCCATTATGATATTGATGAAACCCCGGTTGAAGAAAAGGTGGGATCAATGGCAGCTTGGCAAATTCAGCTGGAAGATAGAGGAACAAAAGTCATGAAAAGTTGAGCCTGGCCCAAATGTATAGAGAGAAAAAGAGAAATATTCATCGAAACCAAGACAGTAAACAAAAGACAATAAAACAGAGATGGGTTTAAAACCAAATATATGGGAAATCTTACCTATAAAGTCAGACACCAAACGACCGTCGGAAAATCTTCCAGTGGGGTATCGGAAGTGGGTTTGGCCGTAGGGCCAGAAGTTAGCTTGGTCGAGAGTTGTGGTGTTAATGTAATTATTGTTGCCAGCATCCAAGAAAGAGTCCCCAAAGATGAAGAAAGCAGCATGATTTTCAGGCAGAGGATGGGATTCAACTTCAATGAAGCACCGTGTGGAACTGAAGGTGAAGAAGAAGATCAAAAACAACACAACTAGCTGCTCATGGGAAGTGCTTTGAGTCTCCATTAATGGCCTCTCTCCCTGAAAACTAACGAAGCTTAAGCTGTCGATCACACAATCATATATGAAGTATGGGTAGCAGCAGAAGGCTCTCTGTTACTGCTCAGTTCCTCTCTGTCACTAAAAGTTTTTTTTTTTTTTTTTTTTTTTTTAACCAAGAAAACGATGGATATCTCTTTGAACCAATGCAAATGCCAAAGTGGGACTAGTTAGTTCCATTGGAGAGTTCTGATGTGATGTTTTGATAAAAAAAAACAAAGGGAGGGAACAGGGGGCGTACGTCAAACTGAATGTATCCAAAAAAAAGCCGAGTCGCTGCGGTTGGGTTTGAATAAAGAAATGATTGGAACTTGGAAGGTAAAGCCTCAATAATTTTGATGTATCTGGTTGAATTATTCACGTTCGTCAAGGTATAACAAATCTCCAATCAATTGGCCATTCAGGAAGCTAACTTTCTAACTTATTACCATTCAGGAAAGAGGTTGAGATGTTTAGAATTACCCTTCTTCTCCTACAAGGTCCCAAGATCCAAGTCTTTTCAACTTAAAAACTTAACAAGATCTTAATCATCAAGTAGTGCTCCAAGTCAAGCTGAAGACGTGTAGAAATCTGTGTTTTTTGAATCAGCTTAGTTTGTAATTCTTTAATTGATCTAAATGAATTCTTGCTGGAGGAAGAAACTGAAAGTTATTTGTATGTTGTTTTCAAGAACCATTGAATTTTCTCTTGAAAACAACTTGAATTTTTAACTATCTAAAGAGGCCAACTTATACACCCCATTCCTAAACAACACTTAGCATTAATAATCATATTGTTCAGTAAGGTGTGAACAAACAAAAAGTGTGAAAGTTGAGAAAAGGGCATTATGTTAAAAAAAGACTGCAAAAGAAACACGTTGAGTTATTCTGCTACTTTAACGTCTAAAAGCTCATAGCTTGTAATCCTTGTTTCAGGGAAACCACTTTGACCTTCACATAAATTCACCTTTTACATGTTTAATTTTTCCTAAGAAGAGACAATGAACTTTGACAAATCGCTAACCTATAAAGATTATAGGGCGACAAGAGCCCCACATGGCTCTGGAGGAGAAAAAATGTGTTTCTGGACATTTAAGTGGGTGGGTTTGGCCATAGTCAACTGTGGTTGGGTAGGGGGGGTGGGTAGTGGGCATTCACCAGTGCCCAGCTCTGCTCATTTCTCTGTTTTTTAGCTACTATCTTATGATTCATGGTAGTGTGCAGTAAGCATTTGTCCATTTTCAACTTTGTATTCATTGTCCTGTCATTATCCACCATATAAGCATTACGTCCCTTAGTCCTATTCTGCCTGCACTGCCAATACGACCTCCTTGCCTAGCCTTTTGGGAAGAGTTTTGAGTCACAGCTTCATCCTGTATATCCTCTCTCTCTCTCTCTCTCTCTCCCCACTATTTTACTCCAATTCTCTCTGTGGGGAACATCTTTTTGCTTTGTTAGCGAGTCCAAAAGGCTAAGGTCAATTTGAATCATGATTCTCCCTCGTATATGTGTGGTTGGGTGGGGGTTCTTATTTTCATGATTCACATTGGGTTAGGCCAGGATTCATGCTAAACTCCCTTTAATGATTTCAATAAAGACTTTCCCAGAGAGAACTCAGTACAGTAAAGGTCCTGATTCAGATACTAATGTTGTCACTTTAGTTCCTTCGACTAACAACATTAAAAGATCAAAATCGCTCCGATAGAAACAACAGTAAAAAAAAAAAAAAAAAAAAAAAAAAAAAAAAAAAAAAAA